AGGAGATGTTAATTTTGTGTAGATAGCTTATTTTCTTAAATTAACTTGAGTTTCTTTGTATAGATAGCCTATTTTCTTATATTCGATTTTCCTATAGATAGCTTAGTTTATTAAATTAACCTTAGCTTCTTTGTATAGATAACTTATTTTATTATATTTGTGTTCGTAAGTATAAATTAACCTGAGCTTCTTTACTATTTTTTCTTAAACCTAGAGTTCATCCCGTAAACTATAGCTGATTGGCTCAAATTTTTGGAATCTTATCTTCCCATGGATCTAACAGGTGACTATATATAATAATTGTTGTTAATTATTTTTTTACAAATTTAAAGTGTTCAAAAATATTTTACTTGTTATACTATCCTACTCGCAAATTCTCTCTGATTTATTATTTTGATCTTTTGGACAGGGAAACACGTTTTACCTTACCATTTCGGTAACGAAAAATAAGAAAGACAATACGTATACATAAGATCTATTTTAAATTTGTAAAAAACTAATTAACAATAATTATTATTTATAATTACCTGTTAGATCCACTGGAAGATATGATTTCAAAAAAGTTCGAGCCAATCAGCTATAGTTTGCGGGATGAACTCTAGATTTAAGGAAAAACAATAAAGAAGCTCAGGTCAATTTATATTTACGAACAATAACTGATTACTCCTAAATATTGATGAACACAAATATATAAAAAGGCGTTTACAAACAATAAAGAAGAGGAACACAATACAGGCATAAGAATGATATGAAGAAGGAGAATGAAGAGATGGCCAAGATGGTTGAAAGTAAACTAAGAGAACACAATAGGAAATAAGAATGACGACAAATTTATTTCTGAACTTCTACAGCTTTGTTGCAACTTTTGATCATTTTATTATTATTTTACATGTGAAAACGGACGTAATGATCTAATTTCCAATGAGACATCGTTTTTGAAAAGTTGTGTATTGTAAAAGTGTTTCATCTGAATTTGATTTTGATTGAATGAAAAAAGCTTTATGAAACCTCCGTTTGAGGTAGCATAAACAGAGAAAAACAACGATAAAAAAACATGGTAGCCCACAAATCTTACGTTCTCATTTTTTTATTGCACAAAAATTATTATACTACCTTTAAGGAAATTGATTCTGTACAAATCAATGCAACTATCAGTTATAATTCATATTGAAAATAAGAGAGAAAAAAAAACTACAGAAGAAACTGAAGGATACAAAAGAAGAAGAAACAGAAAAAGAAAACGAACAGACGACGAAGAAGTCAAAAAAGACAAAGACAAAGTCATATCAATTAAATCCGATAAGAAAAATAAAAAGGTGGATAACCCAAACTAATGAATAAGCACAAGGATAACAAGATGGGGAAGTTGAAGAAGAAGAAGAAAAAGAATCAGACACTGGAGAAGTTAGCGAAAAATAAAAAATGAGAAAACAAAGTAGTAGAAGAATAAGAGGAAGAAGAGGGGGAGTAAGAAAATGGAAAAAAGAAGAAGTTGAGATTATGATTATTGTGACAAATAAGTCAAAGAAAATACGAAAAAGAAGAAGAATAATACAATGAGGAAAATCAGAAGAGGAAGCAAAGGAAGACAAAGCAGAAGAGGAAGAAGACAAAGACGAGATAAGTAAGAATATAGATTAAAGAAAAATCAAAAGAAATAAGACGAAGAAAAACCAAAAGTAAAAGAAGAAGCAGATGTTGGAGAAGACAAAGAGGATAAAGAAGTAGAAGTCAAAGTTGAAGAGGATGAAGATGAAGAAGGAAACGAGGAAGATGAGATCAAAAAAAGAGGAGGAGAGAAGAGAGAGCTGACTAAGAAAAACTCAGAAAATAAGAGGACATATATGTTCTAGATAAGGAAGAAAAACAGAAGTTGAAGATGACAAAGTATGAGAAGGTGAAGATGGGGAAGGAAGCTAAGAAAATATAGAACAAGAAATCAAGTAAGACAAAGAAGAAAAATGTGATGAATTATAAGAAGGAAGAAGAACAAGAACAAGATGGATAAAAATAAAAGAAAACAAGAAGAAGAAGTCGAAGAAGACAGATTATAAAAAAGAAGAAGCTCAAGATGATTAAGAAATTAAGGAAAATACCATGAAAAAGAGAAAATTAATAATATACAGAAGAGGAAGAAAAAGAAGAAGATAGAGATAAAGAAGTAGAAGATGAAGAAAAACCTAAAGAATAATAAGTCATAGAAGACGAAAACAATAAAAAAGAATAATCTGAGGAGAAAGACTAACAAACCAAAAAAGAATGGAGAAGAACAACTGTTGGAAAAGAAAAAGATGATAAAGAATAAGTCACAGTCAAAAAGGATTAAGAAGAAGAAGAAACATAAATCAAATAAGTTAAGAAAGAAGAAGAGAAACATGTGGAAGAACCGATTAGAATGACAAACACTTGCAAAAAAATAGAGATAATTTTCTGGCGAGGGAGAGATAAAAGGAATTACAGAAAAAGAAACTTCTGTAATTACAATGTTTTAGTAAATGGAACAATATATTCATTATGGTTATTAGATCTTTTTTTGTTCGTCGAATGTCTAACATTGTTGTTATATTTGTGTTTGGTTTTTTATTTGTAATAAAGTTAATAGTTTAAAGATGTGATCACCCAGTTATATCTTGTGTTAAATCTTCTGATATTATATATTTTACCGAATTCGAAACACATCAACTATTCTATCTTGGGGGTTTTGGAATATTGGATTGGTGTTCTCTTTGCCTTTGTTGTTTTTTTTTTTTAAGTTTGATGAGTTACAAGTTTTTTGTGTTTTACGTTCGATAGTATTATGTAAATTATTCACAGTATTATTCTTTTCATCTGTTTAAGTTAAACATCTAAATGTGATCTCTTTATGCATTATTAACTGTTCAAAATTATAAAAATTAGAATATGTGATCATCACTCATTTACTCTCGGGACAAGTAATAAGACTTTTATTTTTAACACACTTCCACCCGCACATGGTGCGGGCTACCACCTAGTTTGAAATGTATAGAATGCGGCTTCGTTAAGACAAGAAGTGCATGATAAGTCGAGATGTGATATTTTATGAAGAGCAGTTCTACAAACATCTAAAAAAAGTCTCGGATAAATATTCAGAGAGAAGAGACACTTCAGTATTTGACTTATCAAGCAACGATGAAAATCTAGATTATGCCGATCTAGGTGGAGACAGATTAAAAAATGACAACCAACCAAGTAAATGATGAGAAAGACAAACCATGACCCATGAATAAGATATTGAGAGCTCTCAGAAGGTGAATACAGTAAAACCTCTATAAATTAATAATATCAGGATTACGATATTTTATTGATTTATCGTGATATTAATTTATCTATAAATTATTAATTATTAATGTATTAAAAAAATTGTTTTCTACTTATAATTTTCTAAAACATTTCTTGCGAATAACGCTATATTAAAAAAATTAAACAAATATTTTAATATAAATTGTGATTAACAATCATAGCTATTGCAGTAAAATAATTTTTTATAGCATATTAGATTGTCCATGTAAAGATATACATATTCATAAGCTTAAAATTTATAAAGAAAAAAACCATGGTTACTATCCATATTATTGATGATAAAATTAAAGAAACACTTTAATACATTTAGAAACATTTACAGGTAAGAAAATCAATTATTATATCAACAAATCATCATAAAATTTGAATGCATATTGTAAAACAACAATAAGAGCTACTGATATAATAATTAGAGAGAAGAGATCCAATGAGATTTCAACTTTAAGTAAAAGTAAACACATAACTCATATTTTAGATTATTATATTTACATGTATTTGCTAAAATTTATATAATTATTAATTTATATTTTTGTTGGGACTATGTATTTCATAGTAGTTTCAAAAAAATTATTATCTTATTATCTTATCGAATTTGATATTGGCCTAATTTGAGACCAACAATTATTATTTTATAGTGATTATTAATTTATCAAATATTAATTTATATAGATTTTACTATTTATCGAGATTTTACTGTATGTGTATTTTGATCCTTTGGAAAATTATCTACTTAAAAGAGGTATACCACAAAGTACCATTAGACCTCCACCAATCACAATTCAAATATATTTGGTTTTACATTGATGGTAGCAGAAATATGATGGATACACTGAGTCAAGTTGTTACCAAATAGCTAAAAGAGACTGAGATTTGGTTAAATGGAATTCTGCAATAGATGAAAAATTCAGTCTCAGATCAAAAACAAGAATTTTGAACTGGTGAAGAGACCTAAAGGCAAAAGAGTAATCAGTTGGAAATATGGGTTGTAGAAAGTAGTTGCATTGTCCACGATAGAGGCTCAACACATGGCACTTACGGAGGCTGTTAAAGAGGGTATATGGTTGAGTGGTTTGAGTACATAGTTGGGAATAAAACAAGATGCTATGTTAGTGCATTGTAACTCTCAGAGTGTCATTGGAATGGCTAAGAACTCAGTACACCATGAAACGACCAAACATATAGACATAAGACTGAATTTGATTAGCAATATGATTGCAGAAGAGAAGATTAATGTGGTTAAGATTGGTACAGCTCATAATCCGGCTGATATTCTTATCAAGACAGCTCCAATGAGTAAATTTGAGGAAGCTTTTAATTTGCTAGGCCTGGTCTTGAGCTGAGAGACGTAAAGATCCACAAATGGAAATTCAAGAATTAGAAAACAGGAACGGAGGTGGAGATCATTCAGTTAAGGTGGAGTTTGTTGGTTTGCCTTCATATCTCCTCGGTTTAATATTGATCAAGTGAAACAAGAAGTAACCGCAGTAAAAGCACGTTTTCACGGGTCAGTTTAAACAAGGATAAAGACTACATTAGCTAAGACATGCTTTTTTTGAACAAGTTAAAGACGTTAGAGTGTTGAAAATGTCAAATGAGGAAAGGCTAGAAGAATTGAAGACAATGGGTACATTGATAAGTCATATACTCTATATATATCTATCTTCAACATCTATAAAGAATCATATACAATTAGGATTTCGACCAGGACCACCATAAAAAAAGAAATGTCCCCAAACCTGATGAGTGCCAGGTATGATATTGTAACAACTCTCTTTCGTCATGTGAATAGAACCTGTTCCGAAATGTTGTCTGGTAATTTCATTTTCATCAACTATCTCAAGATTTCTGAAATAGCTAGCTTTTTTATATCCTTCTTGTGCGAAATTCCCACTCCCCATTTGAGTCGTTGTGTGTTGTGAGCTATCCTTACGATTTATTATTTCACCTCCCCACTGAATTTCGTTCGCACCATTTTGTAGATGATTGAACAATGAGGAAGGCCAATACCCGATAATTAGATGGGTACTAAATTTCAACCACCAGTGCCCTGAATGGGGATCCTGTAATAAGAGAACCACATTCACTATCAATTTTTCTAATACGATAAGAGAGTAATTGTTGAAAATATATGATGTAAAATGGCGTAAAATATATTAACCTTCTAGATAATTGTAGGAAAAATTTATTGTCGACGCAATAATAGAACCACATTCGTTCTTAATTTTTTAAATATGGTAAGAGAGTATTTGTTGAAGATATATGATGTAAAATGCTATATAGATATATTTAGATATATTAACCTTCCATATAGTTGCAGGAAACATTTCTTGTCGACCACCCAAGGTGGAAACAGCCCGAACAGCCGCACCTATGGCAAAGTGTTGATTAACAGGAACAAAACCTGAACACTCTAAATTGTAGCAGCCTGTCCTGTTATACCCATCAGCCTGCTAGCATGAAATGAAACCACACACACAAGAAGTTGATTATAAGTACAAATTTTACCCCAAAAACAAGTAAAACAAGAAAAACAAGAAAAACAAAATAAATACTCTATAAATTAACTTACCGTCCAGTAAATAAAGTATCTAGGGTTGTCATCACCATATTTACTCTCGTATACCTAATTAGTAACAACATACAAAGAGAAATAAAAGTTAGGATTATACAAATATATATATATATATATATATATATATATATAAGAAATTTAAACCTGCCAACCAACTTCAATACTGTTATGTTTAGTATCATTAGACGAACGAGCCACAACCCATATTTGTGCTAGACTAAATTCCCTTGGCTGTGCATGAGGCTTCCATACGTTTATAAGCGCTTTGGCTCCATGAAAATTTCCTCTCACAATAACTTGGGCATACTATATATGAACATATATCTATACATACATATCTATATATATATATATATTCACGCACATATGATAAAAGGAAAAATGATGACTTTTAAAGTACTTATTGAATGATATATGTACATATATGCACCTCATGCGAGGAATTGTCATTAGTTGAATAGGTTGGATTAGGTTGAGGGAAGTTGTTAGGATCCTTTTGCCCGTATCTTTCGATCGAATCTGCCCGTAGAATATCTTCTCTTTTCGTTCTTCTGATTGGAATGCTGTTTTTTGGACATTTTCCATTGATTGTCCAGAGTTGAGTTATCGTATTATGTTTTTCAGGGTCAAAAGATTCATTATTCAATCGTTTTGGGTAAGAACTTGGTCTCATCTAAAGTAAGAACGATATTGTTTTAGTGTTACTGATCCGAGTTTAAACACAATGCTACTTTGAGAAAGATTCTTTTGTTTTATGAATCTACTGCAAATATTATCTAATGATGGTTCTAACTCTAAAAAAACTATGACCCAAAAGTTTATAATATTATGTTAGGGCAATAATAATAATAATAATAACAATATTTTTTTGAAAATGTTTTCCGAACCTGAATGGTGTGGTTTTTGAATAATGGATGGTCATAAATTGGGTGATTCTTCATATGAACACAGTCGATAATATCTCCATCTGGACTCTAAGCAAAAATACGAATTGTTGCAAGTAGGAATAAAGAGTTAGCAAAAAAAAAAGTATTTATTAGGAGTAATCATAACAATGCAAATTTGATTGATTAACCTTGATTGATCTCAAAGCTGGTTTATTGAGTTTTTTCAAGAGTCTATCTATTTCAGCATCACGTGTATTATAAAACTCGCTTCTAGTGACTAGCGATGCTGTAATTAGAATGCTGAAGACAAAACTAGCCATCATCCGACTGATTATGAGTAAAAAGTATGCAACAAGTTTCAATATGTTTCGAAGTGCTTTTTATCTTGGGATGTAAGTGCTTTTTTATCTTGGGGGTGTAGAGATGATAAGTTAAAGGTGTTTTATATACTAAACAAAGGTGATGCAGAAGAAAAGTTAATTTTAAGTAATATGATATTTGATTAAAGTGTATCTTGTTCTCTAAATAGATTATTTCATTTTTCACATATACAAATGCAATTAATATAGTCATATAGATTTGTACAAATGTGGAGAAAGAAAAAAACTAGTCAAGACATAGTAAATGATTACAGATTCTGAGAAGTTAAAAAAATTTAAAATAAAAATAGATATTATCTATAATATCTGGCTAAAGAAACTAAAAATTAATAAAATACTAGATTTTAACCCCGTGCGTCTGCACGGGAATGTTTTATTTTTTTTATTTCTAATATAAGTTGTATTTATTTTTTTTTGTTTAGATATAATTTATTTTTGTTATTTATATTTTTAAATCAAAAAATTGTTATCATATTTTAATTTTAAACAGTAAAATTTGTATATTAGTAGAATAAAAGTATACGTTAATTAAGTATATATTGATCTAATGTTAATTATAAATTTTGTTATTATGTGAATTTAGATTTACACATAAACAATCTATATATCTATGAATTTGTTAATCCATCCGTTTAGTTGTCTTAAATCATTTTTAATATCTTACATGTTTTGACAAACTAACCCGTATAAGACTATAATTATAATTGTATAACCCTATAAATATTTACTAATATGGAATATTTGGACCAATTGATTATGAAAAAATATAATAAGATATTTATTTACTATTTGTGCTATTAAAAAAATGTATATATATATATAAACGGGCTAACCTGTTAGTTTAATTGTCTCAAATCATCTTAATATCTTACATGTTTTAATAAATTAACTCATGGACCTTAAATATATATATATATATATAACTCTAATCAGTTCGATCATATTATTGTATAATATAAATATTTATTAATCTCAAATATTTGATATTTTAGACCGATTGTTTATGATAAAATACGATAAAATATTTATTAACTATGCATTGTTATAAAAATCTTATTTAAATTTAAAAATTTAAATTAAATCTTTCCTGTATTTAAGAAATTCTAAAGTATTAAAATTATTATCTAAATTTTCGTAATAAATTTTAATTATAATTTTTTTTGAATTTTTTGAATTTAAATTAAATTGAATGCAAATTTTTGTAACTAAATTTAATTAAATTTCTAATAATTTGAAATTTAAATTAAAGATGACCTAGATTTTAGGAAATCTAAAAATATCAAAATTAATAACTAATTTTTGGAAATTAAATAAAATAAAATAAAATATTATAAAAAAATTTTGGGAGTGTTTGGATGCAAGCACTAAATGTGCTTCTGTTTTAATAGAATAGATATTAGAGATATATGTTAATTGACAAGAGAGATTTCGTTTTCTCTTCTCTCCCGAAAGTGCGATCTAAGTACGATTAGGGTTTTTAACTTCGCTGAGTGCAAAATCAAATCTGATCTTTTCGGTTTTCCATAAATTTCTTTAAATCTTCCTTCAATCCATCATGGATCGTGAGTTATGGTTAGAGATGCAGCAGTTAAACTTTGGTTTGAACCTCCAACCACTGCAACTATATTTTTATGCTCGTTGGAGACATGCTAATGAGAACCAGCTAAGTTTGGTGGTTTGAGGGCTCAATCCGGAACATCAGCCACTGATTTGGATGAGGAATACACTTCTCCTTGCGTGCGACTTCACGAGAGAGTCCAGGGTCAGATCAATGATGATGGGACTATCCGGTTTACTTTTGCAGTAGAGCATCATCTTCTATCGTTAATTGAGCGTGGCCCTTGGTCTTTTAAAGACTGGATGGTGGTTATCGACCCATGGTCTAGAAGACTATACCCTAACTACCTTCAGACCATATCTTTCTGGGTCCAAGTCTTCAATATCCCGGATGAATATGGGAACCATCAGGTTGTCAAAGATCTTGCTAGTCGGATTGGACAGGTTGAGGGCATCCGTATTGTTGAGTCTACGCATGACTCCTCCTCTGAAGTTTGGGTACATATCAAGCTTAATGCATATGAACCTTTCTTTTTTGTACATCATCTTCAGCTGGACGAAGTTGGAGCACCAGTTTTACTCAGGTTTGGGTATCAAACACTTAAAGAAATTTTGTACCACTGTTAACACCGTATTTTGACAATTTTATGGATCGTTTTTATTTCTTATTCTTTTTATTTTTATATTTTTATTTATTTTAAGTGTTTTTATTATAGTTTTCTAGCACTTGTAGGTTCAAGATTCTTTTCGGAACACTAAAGAAAAAGCTTTGCAAAATAGATAGAAGACTAGATTTTTAACTCAGAGTCAAACATCAGAAGTTCACCCTCAAATAAAGACTTTCTCATCGTCTGATCCATCTCAAATTTGGAGATCTTAAAGATGGAGCAGTTAGTTTTCCAGCACACTTGACATCAGAAAAATCCAAGAGTTTAACCAAAACTTACACTTTGATGAGAAATTTACACTTTGCACTTAATGAATGTACAGAACTAGTTGACTAAAATCGAGATTTAGATTGTTTAAATTTTGCATGACTGAAATAAATGGACTAGTATCTTTTGTGTCTTAGTGAGATTTTTTTAAACTAAGTTGCGATTGTTGTACAATCGATGGTTATAGTTTAGAGGTTCATGTCTATGAAATTTGTGCATTTCTTATTTTTGTTTTCACTTCACCATGATTTGATTTTTGTTTAAGTCTAGGGAAGTTGATAACATTATATTTTGATCACTTTTATGGATCGTTTTTAAATGTTTTTTTAATGTTTTTTATTTATTTTCAGTGTTTTTATTATGGTTTTCTAGTACTTGTAGTTTCAAGGCTCTTTACAGGAAAAAAACTTTGTAAAATGGATAGAAGATCAGATTTTTAGCTCATAGACAAACCATCAGAATTTCACCCTCAACTGAAGACCTTCTCACCGTCTGATCCATCTCAAAATCTGAGATCTTAAAGATGGAGCAGCTAGCTTTCTAGCACACTTGACATCATGACAATCCAACAATTCAATCAAAAGTTACGCGAAGAGCAAGATGTCTACTCAATCAGCCAGCCAGCCTTCCAGACCGCGGCCAACACTTGGTTCCCCACGGTCGCCCACTTCCTGACCGCGGAGAATCAACATCAGACCCAAGAAGCCCATTTTCAATCCCGTTCGATTTCTCTTTTCAAGAAAATCCTAATTGATGTCCTGAAATGACTTGAAGACCTATGAATACTTGTTCGAAGAACCCTAGACGATATCTTATATATGTTGTGTTAGTTGTTTTTAGAGCTTTTCATACTTTTAGTTTGCTTTAGGTATAGGGAGATAGAGATCTATCTCTTGACCCCTCCTTGTTTCTTTTTCAAAATATAGATTTCAAAACAGATTTTTAATACAAATGCCTGAGTAGTTTATTTGTTGGGTTTAAGAGCATTTTTGATGGGATCATATATGTTCGATGATGATTGCATGAGCTACTACGCCGAATCCCAGAACTTTTTCTTCTAAATTTATTTTTAATGCATGGAAGTAGCGTCATGAACTAATATGATTTAGATTCGTAGTATTGCAAAAAATTTCATTAGGGCCCAGATTTAGTTTGAGAAGAGCAATTCTGCCATAGGAGTGGAAACCTACCTATAAGTGAGTTATGAATGTAGATGATTCTAGTGCAAGATTGCGTACATATGTGGCCGGGGCCAGAGACGAAAGCTACTGGTTAGGGTCTTGGATGACAGTTGGTTATGATCACGACAATGACGTAGTCATACCTTCGTGCTCGAGTTCTAAAAGTTTTAGCTAGAATTTTACATTACGTTTTATCAATAATTTGAATCGTTCATACCCCGAAGATTTTTTCCTTCAAAACCCAGTGTCTTGTTTTTCTAACTTTACATCGATTTTTATTCAAACTTTTCGAACTAGGTCATTTTTAATTCCAGCCGATTTTCTTAAATCTTTAGATTAGGTCATCTTTTGTCTTTTCTTGTTTTTTCCTTTTCCTGTTTAGTTTAGGATTTACGGTTTTAGTGACGTCCAAAACCCCCTTTAAATATCGACTAGTTCTAGACTTCCTTGGTTTAATCTCTTTCAAAGGTTTTTGCAGAAAATATCTTCCTACCCTGTTGATTCAATTCCTAAGTACTACAATCAATTAGCTGTGCACTTGCAGCTTTAACTGATTCTTTGAGGGTAAAACTTGTTCCCGGACTCCCACCACATCAAGTTTTGGCGTCGTTTCTGGGGAAGGCAAGCGTTTACTCTTCCGCAAAACCCTAGAAAGGTTTGTAAATCAACTCTAGAACACCCTTTTCTACTTATTTTTGTTTTTGGTTCTCCTTGTTTCAGGTTGATGCAATGAACCCTATGGACTGAAATCACTACCATGAGGAAGGGTTCTAAAACACTCCTCAAGCCACCAGACGCAGAGAAGCATAGTATGTTCGTGACTATTACTTGATGGTTCAAAACTCCGATCCGAATCACCAGCCTTACAGGAGCCAGAAGCCTCTCCATTACCGTGATGACCCCTATGCATCGCCTATGGTCTACACTAGTTCATATGCTTAACATATCCCTCGTCAAATCTCGAGCCAGCGGGATGAAAATTTGAAGATTAGCAAACACCTGGAACATCTTGACGGAATGATCAACTAATTCCGTGATCAACAGATCTTAACCGAGACCACTGCGCTCAAGAGGATCGATTATATCTCTTTGGAGTTTAATAAGAAGTTCGATGACCTAGTTGATCATGTCAAAACCCTAGAGGAACAGACTCAAAAGGACACACAGACACTTGCCGTGATGATAGAGCAGGTCGCAGGAGAACAGACAAGACAAGGCTATGATATTATCTAGAACTTTAGTGACATTGCCGAGTCAAAACAAGAGATCAAGGAGGTTGGAGAATTTTCCTCTTGGTATAGGGAGAAGACAGATGAAGAACTTCAAGAGATTGAGTATCGTCTCAGCAAACTTGAATTCAAGGCAAGAGAGATAGATGCAAGGATAGATGAGATCTCCAGTCCCGAGTCAGCGATAAGATTTCTTAGAAAATCATCTAAAGATCATGAAGAGAAGGAAAATCTGAGTTCCGGAGCAGGCATATGAGAAGCCGAGGAACCACCCGATGATGTCAGTGAAATACCAAGGGATAACAGTGAAGAGGATCCCATTCTTGAGGGATACAGAGGATCAAATTCGGAGCAGACGTCATCTTTGGCCGCTGGTACACCTCACCCGACTGTGGCGAAAGCCTTCTTCACCGCGGTCGCGGGACCTCCAGCCATGGGGGATTGTCTTTCAAACTTATCTCTAAAACCTGCAACCAGTTCCGAGCCTTCTTCGACCCTCTCTCCACCTCTAGCACCTGGAAAAGTAATTTGGGACAAAGCATATCAAATTCTAGCTGTATAACTAGATCCAGAAGAACACATTCCTCATGTTCCTTGCAAGATGGCAATAGAATGTGATGTAAATTCAACAGACTCCTCAAGCCAAAAGGATCTGACACATAGGAGGATTGAGATGCCCTACATAGACTCATTTGTTTGCTTCGATTCTGCAGCTTCTTATTGTGAGTCCTATTCAGTTTTTGAAACATTCACCAGCATCGAAGATGATGAACCTGTTCGAACACTGCACAAAATCGAAGACAAATGTCAGTTTCTCATCTCTTGTTCTATCAGAGGTGAAAGAGTTAACCATTTTTTTGTGATTCTGGATTTTGTCTCAATATAATGTCCAAAAAAACTGCTTTTGAGGCTTGGTATTAAGCCTGCGCAGGACTAGAACAAAGATCAGCTTAACTGATGAATCCATTCCTATGACATTCCCTTGAGGATTAGAGATTTTATTGTATCTGTCGATTTTTATATTGGTAAGACCAAGGATAATTCACACCCGATCATTCTTGGATGGTCTTTCTAGCAACTGCCAGAACCATCATGGATTGGCCAAACCGGAGGATTTCCTTTGCTAATGTCGACAAGGACAGTTTTTTTAATGCTGTTTCTTTTAACAGTAGAGCAAGAAAACTTTCTGAAGCAGAACTTTGTAGTGACGAAAAACCTGCTAGGCAGAACAAGGAAATTTCGAAAAAAACTTGTCTTAGGACAAAGTCTTCACTAGACTAAGCCACTTCCTACACCAATTCGAGCGAAACGACTTAAAACAGAAACGCTCAATGGGAGGCAACCCATATATGTATTTTTTTTTTTAGGATTTTCTTCCCGTTTCTATTGATCTTTTTCTTTTTCTGAGTTTCAGGTGTTTTTTATAAATAAAAAAGCCAAAAAATCAAAAAACCCAAAAACCCAAAAAGAAGGATTGGTTTCCAACTGCTCGGCCCAGCAGGAACCAACGAAAAGCAGCATTTGGCCGCAAGAAGCTGGCCGTGGTCGCATCCAATCGACCCGCAGCCAAGCCATGATTGACATCGGCCCCAGAGTCCTACCCACGGCCACTGGCCATTCACACCACCCTCCGACCCAGTCCACCTCATTTCACCTCACCATGCTACATTCCACCTCATCCACCACTTACCACCATCTCCCACCACCTTTTAGCATATATATTCCCGCATCTTTCCGCATCTTCCCGCAATTTCCTGCATCGATCCGGTTCATTTCCGTCAGCATTCTGGTTCGAAGCTCATGCATCATTCATCCATCCCAGCCTCATTTTCATCATCAACACCATCACTTAATGCATTCCACCAGCATCTACATCAATAATTTCATCCTGCATCCAGGTAAGTCCCATTTTTCTTAGCTTTTCCATCCATTCATACTCTTTCTCATCCAAACTCTATTTATTTCACACTAAGGACAGTGTGATTTAAGTCTGGGGGAGGATTTCATCAATTTCTAACCATCTTTCTTTTATGAGTTTTGTATTATCTACATTTTTTGTGTTTTCTTTAATTTTTTTTCTAAAACAGTTTTCAAAACAAAATACGTTTTTACAAAGAATGGTGAACATATAATCGATGATAGCTGACTGTGTGCTTTTAGACTATTCCCTAGTGACATGCTCATTCGTGATTTAGGACTAGACTAGGCGGTAGCTAAGCACATTTGAAACGAAGTACCCCAGAGGAATTTGAATGGTTTTGATTTAGATGAAGGAATATACTAGCTTTGTTTTTATCTGGACTTAACATTGACATAACTTTCTCATTGAAGCATTAAATCAGGAAAACGAATCATACATTCAGGACTCCTTTATCTTTTTACCACTCTTTGTTTATCGTGAATGGCTAGTTCATCTTTAGATAGTTTCCCACCTTACCTAACCTCTTTCAAACCACATGCATTCTTGTTTTTGATTATCTTATACTAGATGAGTACCCGCGCTACACGCAAGTTTTTGTTCAAATAATTTCAAACTTTTTAATTGTTTTATAGTCTTTTTCTTTTGTATTGTGTATAAGTAGAGATTATCATTATTGGTTGTAATATGATATGGTAAGATAGACATTTAGTCTGAAATATTACTCTATGCATTTTTGTTGAGAATTTTGGTTCATATTGTAAATGAAAGATTGGCATTGGTTGTGTTTTGTATCTTCATTTAATTCTTCTTCTTTGGATCAGTATGCTTTTCAGTAATCTTCCTTCGTTTTTGAAGAACATTTGTTGGAGGAAGAACGTATGTACAAAGCTTCTATTTGTCATTCTTATAATACCATTTAGTTTTTGTTCCTAAAAATATAGTTAGGAGGAAGACTCTTATAATGGCAACGCTGCAGCAAAGTGAACAACCATTAGTTTCTAGTGGAAGACACTAAAATTCCAAAGTTGATCTACCAAAAAAAAGAAAATCCAAGAGAAATAGTGGAGAACCACTTAATGTCTTCATTCTTTGCATATATAGCTCAGAACTTTGCAGTGAACAACCAATACTGTTTCCTCATTATCTATTATATATAAAAACAGAAACATTTTTAGTGTTTGTTTACAAACACTCCCAAAGTTTTTTTTTTTAAAATTTTTATATATATATAAATATAATTCCGAAAATTAGATATTATTTAGATACTTAAAAATTTTCTTAAATATAGGTTATATCTATAGTATATAGATATTAATTTAAATAGACTTCCTTACATATAGGTTAGATTTAATTTAACATTTGAAATTTAAATAAGATTTTCAGAATAATACATATGATTAACAAATATCTTATTATATTTTTTAATCATATTCTATCAGATTAAAATTTTACATATTGAAAATATATAAATATTAATATTATATAATAATTTGATGGAACAAGTTAAGTTTTTTTTATAATTATGGTCTTATGCGGATTAGGTTATCAAAATAGCATGCAAGATATTAAGAGAAAATTATTTTAAAATTAATAAATATTTATATTATAAAGTAATATAAAGGGACGTGTTAGAATTATGGTTTCATAATCATCGTCTTTTTCGGATTAATAAAATGAACGAGTCAAAATCATCCTTAATTTTCTCAAATGATGGGATGTTTATTCCATTAGTAATTTACGTTAGAATGCAAGTGGAAATAGTTAACTTACAGTCGTAAATTGTATTTTAGGATCTTCCAAAGATCTGAAAAGTGTGCCTTGTACAGACCTGATCTTCTCAGCTTGGGCCTAAGAATCTTAGCTACATAGCTGATCTTCTTTCTGTTTATCTGTTAAAATTGACACTTGAGGAGATAGATATTCAAACAAATAACTATATACAGAGCTACAGATCCCATTTGTTTGATGTTGGAAAACGGCTGACTCGGATCTCTCAGTTTCTCTCTATTGAACTGAGCAAGCAATCGAGTCTTCAAGTCTTTCCAATTCTCAAACTCCTTACGAAGAAACCAATCGAGTGATACAATCGTTTCGTATGTAACTTTCGATTAGAAATCCAAAATATGAATCCAATGTATATGGGAACAAAGAATCCAAATGTTATACTTACAAGAATCTATGAGATAGAAAGATCCTTTGTAGAGGAAGAACAACGATGAATTACAGAGAGAATTGAGATAGAGAGAGAACAACTTTCAACAACTTCTGGATATCTCTCCTTCCTCGACTCCTGATTCTCTTAACCGCCTCCATTTGAATCAATTGAATCTCCATCGTCCATTCTCCCTTTGTGTTGTTTATTTACCATGTAGAATAAACTGTATCAAATCCTTCCCCTTCGAGCAACCATGTCCTCATGGTTGGAATTGTGGAAAACGTTGCTGAAGATCAAAGAGAAACTCCCACGTAGCCTCTGTTTCATCTTCTCTGGTCCATTTCACCAAAACATTTGTCGCTGCTCTGCCCTGACGGTTAACAATCTTGCGTTCCAATATGAGCTCAGGTTCTTTAGTCATGACATCATGAAGCACCAAAGGCAACTGATAACTCACAGAGACATCACCAACTCGCAATTTCAATTGGGAGACATGAAAAACGGGGTGTATTCTCGATGAAGAGGGTAGTTCCAGCTTATACGCAACTTTACCACATTTATCAATCACCTTGTAAGGTCCATAATACTTAGGAGATAGTTTCTGA